TGGGCAGCCATGTTGATTTAGTTTAATTGCTTGTGTATCTTTAAGAACAGAAGTAATTATTACAGAATGATACTGTTAAGTGTTCGTATGAACTCTGAAAGTGTAATATAAATAATAATATTTTATATATAACTACAATAATGGTAAATGTAAATATTTTTTTTAGGGAATACATTAGTGAAAAATAAAAAGTCATAATATACTATCTATATAAGTATATTTTGTATATAAACAAAGTAATCCTTTGTGATTCTGAAAGGTAAACGTTTTGTGCATAACTGCATGCTATTCAACAGATTCTGTTATACTTCCATGGCTTATGATTAACGAGAATTTATAAAAGATTGGGCGCAAAAGAAGAACGAATAAAAAAGTGAGTCCTCTTAAGGTAAGCCAATTAGCAATTGGACAGAAGGTAACTGAAGCGGTGTTTATTGAATTCTTCAATAGAAACGTCAATCGAGTAGCAGCTTTGTCCATGATGAACCATTTTATTTTCAATTAAACGTCGTGTTTAATTATTCTTTAACATAATTTTGTAATACTTTAAAGTCAACTATAATTACGACGTAAATTCAGATCCATTACGATACATACAATTAAATTATTAGATTTAACTTAGTTTAAATTAAATTTAGTTTTGATTCTCATTAATATGCTCAGAAATTTCATACAAATTTAGTACTATTCTCCCTTGAAACTAGTATTGCTATGAAACTTCGTGATCTACTTTCAGAATATTATAGAAAACCTTGAGTCGTTAATATTCTACATTTCATCCGAACTCGCAAAAAATTAATGATCTCCTCTCATCCCTGCAACTACGACGTAGAATATAGAATGAAAAATAACATTGTGGAACAACCGCATGACGATGAAAACGATAACCGGGAACCAACGTGTTCCCCATTAATTAATCTCGCGTATCAAACGGTCGGGCGTTATTATTCCAAGAGACAAAGGTTCCAGGCTTATCCTCTCGCGGCACCAAGTTTCTCACTATTGAGTGAAAATTTTCCGTGCTTACCAGCTAGTATTGTACACATCGTGATGTTCTTTTTAGCGTGGTAGAGCGTGGAACAGGCGGCGCACTTTTCATCGTATCTGTGCCGAAAGAAGAAAAATTGTCCCAGTAGCCGAGCGCACAGCCACCTAGTTTCCACGCCCTTTAATTACCGCCGCGCCACTACTAGTCGTGCCATACCGAGAGAAGTTGTCATTACGGCTGCTAAAGAGCTGTCTACCGTGTTGTGGTCCCTTGCTACTCTCGCCATTCGCTCTCTCTTCTCGCAGCAAAGGTCGCCAGAAGCGTTAAGAGAGTCATTGTCCAGTTCGAGATCCTTTGTTTGGGACTCTCAACTCGTCTGTCCACCTTTAACGATCTACTCGGCTTCATCATCGGAGACATCCTGTGATTCTCTTTCTCGGTCGGTAACCACACTGGGGGGATACATAGGCGTGATCCATCTTTGGGCGTTAACGGGAAGATTGATGTTTGGGTTTTTATCCGCTTGTCGTTAGCGTCGAGATAAGTTAATTTGTGTTTTCAGTCGGTATATGCTGTACCTAGCTATTAGACGTTAACTATATCTGATTATATTACAAGCATGTGTGTTATTTGCTTTCTTATTTGGTGGAGCAGATGACTCTGGTAATCGTGTAGTCATTTGTCAATAACTTTCTTATCCTTCGAGTCTACTCAACTTAACCTAAAACTTCGTGTAATTAAGAAGTGTTATCTCTCTAATTTCACTCGGTTTTAAACCACTTAAGGGCGAAGAAAATCAATTCTATTGAAACGCTAAAGAAAAATGTGCTCCATCAAACATATATAAGGTCATCTTGTCGAAGGGGCGAAACCGCGGATTCCCGTGGGCGTTTTAGGCGGTCCCAGAGTTGAACCAACTCTCCAAACAGTTCGCGAAAACGATTTAGAAACGCGGCTGAATCGCACAAAGGAAACCGTGGTGCGTTGACCGTCCTTTCGAGGCCCAGACACCGGTGCCCTTGGAATTCCTTTCACGAATACCTGCGTCGTCTTTCTGCGTCGAACATAAAGCAAGATAAAGCTCCATAAAGCGGGTATAAAATTTGTCTGCTGCTGACTCGTTTGCGAATAGGTAATCCCTGGAATAGGCGTTTTTAATTGCCGCTTGCTCCAAGGACAGCGGCGAACATCCCCATGGAAAACGAGCAAGTAGGACCTTAAAGTCACTCAGTTTATTCGTTCGTCGATTTACTTCAACTGCTTCTCGACATTAGCTGGAATGGAATAGCGATATCTGCTTGCTTCGGTGATACTTGTCGTTTGAGATAATTCTTTTTTACCGTTGTCGTTACTGCGTGGGCTGTGTAGAAATCTATATTACCGTATATTGCAATTAACGTGCGGTTGAGAAATTGAATGTTGGGACCAGATCATGAAATGTCTCGCTTTGATATCTCCTTGTAATTGTGTGGCGAAGGCTCGGTTATTTAAAGCTTGGCAATGCATTTTAGCTATTACGTTGACCAGATTGTAAATTTTATTCCAAGTTGTAACAAGAAATATCTGAAACAAAAAATCAGTATCTGTCTTATCTGTAATATTTTACATATTCTTCGTTTAGTAAAGTGACTTTTTTGGTAGTAGCAAAGATTGTTACTTGGAGTATGAAAATTTTAATTAGAAGTCTCTATGTAATCAATAAAATTTCTTTATTGATCACTGATATTAGTCGTAAATATTTCTTCGATACTAAAAGGTTAGAAAGTTATCATATATTTTCTTAGTATTATGACTCAAACCCTTCCAAACGTTCTAAATCAGAAATGTTGAAACTTTATCAGGTCTGTTGATTGTGTAGGATTCGTAGGTTCCTGAACTCGTTGCTTATCGATTGTTCTGGACACTGAGCGATTTCTGCGACAACGTGCAGGCTAAATCCACCCACGTTTGAGAGAAAAGGTCTCGAGTTTCAGTCGATTTTCTCCATGTCGAAGAAAAAAAGGATCGTTAAAGGCGCAGCGACGTCTGCTTCGTCTCTAGGATGTTGTATGTAAATTTCCTACCTTCTGTCTGTGCCGACTACCATCGGCTACATGAATCATGCTAACGTCTCCAGTTGCAAACCGGAAATATATCCGACACTGCGTTCGAATGAAATGTATGGACCTTTTTTAGGTTCCTTATTCTATAGCTTGTAGATTATGCTACCATAGCAATATAACCTGGTTAATAAACATTTTTCATTGATGTGCATAAAGACTAATTCTCGGTAGTTTACTTACATATATTTTGAAGTAAAATATTGCATTCCAGAATAAATAAAATACATATTATACCTGGAAAAACAAGTAAAAAGATTATGGATCACATCTTTTGGCCTTAATCTTTCGTTATATTTATACAGTATAACAATCAAAAATTTTATAGAATTTAAATGGATACCTTAATTATTGTCTTGGCAAACATATCAGCCTTGAGTAGCTCAGGTTGTATAACAGATTACAAGACAAACCTTTTATCTAGCTAAAAACCGAGCGTTGTAAATCACCGTGAATATTAAATCGACTCTCATTGCTCGATACCAGTTCTTGCTTTTGTAATTGCATTTCCAACATTTTATCCACCTAAAGCTTTGAACATGAGCCTATAACATATGCATTTTATGCAGAAATCAAATAAGCTACACAATTCGATTTTTAAAGGCAATAGCACGTTCAAATCGCTTACAAGTATCTATTTTTTATATCAATTTCGAAGTTTACAACTCACAACAACGTAAAGTAAGTACCGTCGCTTGCCTGATTAAGCAAATTTTATATCTCTTTTTTCTTCACACGTATATCATATAAAATCACTTGTATCTCCATCAGTCACTTGAAAGATACATCGATCCATCCGTCAAGGTTTTCGATCACGTTTCAGCTTCTCTTCCATTTGTTCGATATGATTCCACCATTTTTCTATCGATCGATCTGTAAACACACGTGATAACGCAGCTATTCCGTTCGAATTAAAAGGAAAGGGAGAGAAAGAAAAAGAGAAAAACTTATAGACGTCACCTCGTTAGCTGCACCGCATAGGAAGATTATAGAGATTCGAGCAGTAGCAACGTTTCATTATTCTTAGAAACCCAAGGTCCGTAACGAGCCACGGGGAAGGGGCTAGCTTTCCATTTCATGCCAACAGCATCTTACCTTCGTTGCGAGAATAAACTTGTCCGTTTCGATGCGGCGTTGCACGACTCTAAACGCCGGTGGAACGATGAAATACGACAGGGCCCATCGCTAAATCTCGAAGATCGTTCAACAACGCGTAACGAAGCGGTCTCACGCGATCTCGCGCCGGCCGGAATCATAATAGCGATGACGAGGCAGATCTCGAATGACCACTCTATGTTGCCATTGTTCATGGTGTGTGGAAGTCGCGTGCAGCCTGCGACGGGAACGTAGAAAACGCGCCCAAACGATGCCCAACGAGATCGTCCACTATCGATGACACGTGATCCCTAGGGATGTGCTAGGTCGCGTCACGTAATCCTGATTGGCTTACTCGATTCACGGGCCTAAAACATATTTTCTTTTCTTCCAGAGAGTGTATACCTCGAAAAGTGACGAGATCTTTATTAAATCGCTCGATACTTCGAGATAACTTCGAGATAAGTCGAAAGTGAAATCGATATCTCAAACGTCGCTTCGCGACTCTTCGTGAAGTTTGCGAACGCGTGGGGTTCAGGGAGGGGACGTAAACATAGGACCGGGCATTTTTGTGTGATGATTCGATGCACGACGGAAGAGAATTCGAGGGTCAAGTTACTCTTTTATGATTCAGTTCCGCTTCTCGAAATATTCACGTGAAAAGGTGCTCGTGAGTGGTAGAAGTTTCGTAGAAACGGGGACGAGATAAAGGCCGAGAAACGAGACCGTTTGGATTGCCTCAAATGGAAGAACTAGCGTTTTCACTCAACGTCATCCGATATCTGGACGATAAGTCAGCGAACTGAGCAACCGTTCGATATTCTTGACGGATCGTCTCGTCGGATTGTCCGCACGAGATCGATCGATTCACCGTTTCACTTCCAATCCCGTCGTTTCGAAGATCACGAGGCTGGATTGTACCGTCGTGATCACGCGACATGGATGCCCTGGAATTGCAAGCAGCCCTGGTGAAGCTGGATCCAGCCACCACGGTAACGCCGATCGGCTCGAACGTGAAAATGCTGCCACCTCATCATCGTATCGCGTTCACGGTCGATTTGGACGAGAACGATGTAACATTGGAAAACTCGTCGCAGAACGACGAGAAATCTAACGTGGTGCCGGCCATGCAATCGAACATACCTAGAAAGCTGCACAGTTGCTCGACCCAGGTGACCGTGCCTGAGGTCAAGTGACGCCAGCCTTGCTTCGACCTTATCTTTTATCACACTTACCCGCCGCACAGGAGCAGCAAGCATCATGCTAAACATCACGCTAAGGAGAAGAGACATCATCATACTATGCATCATCAGCATCATAGATCTCATGTGGTGAGTCAGTGGTTCTATTCGTGCGTGATCGTTCGTTATTTACGAGAGGTATAGCTGTTGTTATTTTTTTTTTCTCGATTTCGAGTTATCGATGTGCGTATGTTCTCACTCGACTGTTTTTCCTTTTTTGTATCACATATATGATCACTGATCATTTTTATCCGGTATCATTTTTGTTCGATTCAAGAATCCTCTTCCTGCTATCCAATAACGCTTTTATTTGAGTAGTAAAAATTTCTCCGATTTTTGTTTAATATTATTTTTGTTTAATTAAGAAAATTGGTGTGATCTGAAAAGTAGTGAATTCTTTGTCACAATATCAATTTTTTTATTGATTTTCTAAATGCGTCAGTGTCGTACCATTGTCAATAGCGTAATTATTTGAAAAATCAAATATTTGTATAAGATACTTATGTGTTTCTAAGCATGCTTCATAGACATTATAATTTTATCGCAGCAAGAATGCTGTTATTTTAATGAGAACGAAAAATCGTAATCATTCTTTCATCATTTCTTATTCTCTATATTTTATCAAATTCTGTAAAAAAAAAAAAATGAAAAGTATAGAAGAAACTATATTTTGAGAAAACAAATTCGTAAATAAAAAAGAAAGGCTACTGAGAATATAAGAATTCCGTTTGTATGATTCAACAGAGTTTGATACATCATGAAACTATGTTTCATAATTAGACAAATGACTCTCAGTAGACGAAATCATTGGCCTGTGGATTATGGTTCTGTAATATCACTGATGGAAAAAGTGTTCTTTGTCATTAGCGTCCATTAACGTTTCAACAGTATCCATTAAGTTCCTTGCATTAAAGCATGGCTAGAAACATGGAAAATTACATTCTTACATCTACTTGCATACCTGATGTATAAGAAGGCATAGTGGTTTTTCAGTGTAGGGATTGAAACAGAGTGGAATGAATTTGCCGATAGAGTCAGAAATTGAAATCTTTCATGGTCATTCTCTCATTTATAAATTATACATAATTGAGGTTTATACAATCTTCTTATTCGCACGTATCTGCATACGAAAAGGTTAAGTTGCACGTTTGGTAATTTATTCAGTACAGTGCATGTGTAGATTCACATACCCGTCGTTTGCATGGACTACAAATACTCTACATATTTTAATATACTACAAATAAGTGAGACGAGTGATCAGCAATTGAATTATTCGTATTTTAAACGTTATTAAGCTTAAAATAAAAATTATTTTTGATACATACCGCATTGATGTCTACAGAGGTTAACAAATTCTTCCCAGGAGTCGCTGTGAGCGTTTACATCATTAGTATACAGCCGGTAAACCGGTGCACTCATATACGTAGTTGTCAAGAGAAATGTGATAGAATAAAAAAATTGGTCAAGTGTCAGAATTTACATGTGCGTTTTGACGAATGTACTTGAAAAAAGTTGAAAAAATCAATGTTCAGAATACTAAATAGGATCGATTGAAACGCGTGTGATTCGTTTTAAAGTGTTAGTTTTGATTCGTTGTCTATTCAGAAATGTAGTGTGCTGCCCGCGGCTGTAGGTGTCACTGGCATCAATCTGTGGCGTCACTTGGTGTTTTAATTTGAGATCTTGTTATATTTCTTTTACCGCCTCCACTCGTGGGCAAAGCAGCACGTAATGGGCCTACCGCGAGCCACTTAACAACTCTAACATTGGACTATCGGTGATGGCAGCCACTGCACGGGCATTAATGGACGTATTTCCGGGACACGACGTTGTCCAGTGGCGTAAATGAGACGAGATAGAATGGCCGTGTACTGTGACCTGAATTTCTTTAAGGGCACCGGTTCGAAGGGTGATCGCTTACGTAGGTGTGTTACCGTTCGAGATCAGAGACACGTATAACCTATTTAAGACGTCCAGAGGAAGCTTTTGATGAGCACATCGCTGAGAGTGGTTGACCTGTGTGCAATTGAATTCGTTCAACCAGTCATCCCGTATAAAGGAATAGTAATTACGCGGGAGAAAGCAAACGTTACGGACCGATCGCCTTCTGGTTGTTTTTATCGCTGACGATGAAAATTCTGGTAATCTTTGTTTATTGCTTAGTCAGGTATCTATATCTGTGGATAAGAAAGCTAATAATTTGTGTATAAAGTCGTTCAAAGTAAAATATCGATCCGAATATTAAATTTTTATTTATTTTATTCAATTTATTTATGGAATTAATAGTATGTATAGTCCAAGATGGTGGAAAGAGGTTAGGTTATATCAAGGTAGTGAATCACTGAAAATTCTATTTTGTTTTAAATTATGTGGGATGGCAGAGTGTAGATAGAATGAACGAGGACTATCAACTAACTGATAACCCTTGTCCACTCTGTTCACATCAAAACCATCCCAGTTAAATTTTCGATCAGTTTAGCATGAAGTTGGGGTAGCAAATGAACTTCAACAACTTCAACGATTAGCCATTGGCACTCCTGGATCTCACAAAGTAAAGAATTTATTTATTTCATATATAATAATTAACAAACTTCAATCGTGACCCATTAATTTTCTTTGTTTCAGTCAGAAAAATATTACACATTTGGATCCATGTTCATCAAGAATTTTTTCACGATAAATTTATCAAGAAATCACACCTTATTTTTTTCCGTCGTCCTGAATATTCCACTGTTTTTTCCTGGCATAAATCAGTACACACGATGTGAATGAAATATCAGGTAAAACTCGTACACATCCGGTAAATATTTTAACCATCATAAAACAGAGAAATCACGAGAGATACATGCACCGCGATATATCCACGAGATCATACCACTTGTTGGTAAAAAGAGACACAAACCAGACGATCAGCTATCACGCGAAACGCGTATCAGTTGTGCTGCGCGAACGCCGGCTCGCCTGAAATCGAAACCCAGTTCTGTTAGGTCGCAAATATTGTTGCATTCGCTTTTGACAAGCGGCACCGTTAAACCTTCGCCGCGGCAATGCCAGACGTGATTCATATCTGCTCGACATTGAGCCATTGGAGTAACGTTATACCCTTATTCCGGGTGTAGCTCGCGAGCAACACAAACTATGCAGAAAGTAGAGTTCTGATTCTTATAATATCATAGTGGTTACGATTAATGCCGATAAATATCTCTGTTTTTTAATGAAACTTATTTACTTCTACGACATGTAATTTTTATATTTACTTAAATTAAAGTATCTACAGATGATAAAAGAATTAATAGAGGATATTTCAAAATTGCAGATCATTCAAGCAGGAGATAATAGAGGATAATTAAAGGAATATCTTTTCTTCGTAAATATATGTGCGATTTTGCTTTGTTTTCTTTTATAACAAAGTTCTGAAAATGAGGATTCTGAGCGCCTGGGAGCGAGAAACCTGCTGTACATTAATTTACTTTAATGAGGTTCCATTGAAATTTTGAAGCGAGTTTTAGGACACCGTATATTTAGAAATCGATATGCAAATACTAGAACAAAGTGATATATAAATACTGCTTGTATCTACTGTATCTCATTAATCCTTTTTCTATGTATTTGAAATTGTAATCCATCAAGTGATTGTGAATTTTCAAACAAGTCGATGTGATTGACCAGTTTATGCTTTCTCGTGTATGGTTAAGTAACTTGTATACTGTGTCTGAGTTTGAGTTGTACAGGTGAAATTATTTTTTCTCCTGTTGCGTGTGGAACGGTATTTATTACTAATAAGCAGGGAAATATGTGACACGTTGATTGAAATTTGTTTTAATTGTTTTGATAAGTATTTTTTGCTGATTTTCATATCTAGATAAACTAAGTTTTCCCTGTAATAGGGGTTTTAATGCCCAATTTTAGTATTCAGTTCACCATCTGTTATTTTATGTTCAGTTGTATTCGTTCATGTAGAGACATAAATAGCAATGATGCACTACATATTCCACATAGAATTTTGACACAGGTATTACTCCCTTTTACTAATATGGAACACCTGTAAATCTCACAATGATCACATATACTAAACGAGAAGCAGTTTAGTCTGATCCCTATCACGTCTGCAAACGAGCACACGGTGCTTAAATCGATCGAAAATTGCCAGTCAAGAATTGGATCAGGCCTGTCGTGCCTAGAAGCACGTGTAGTACACGAAGAGACAATACGGCCACATTGCTACACATTTCCCCTTGTGCTGCCTGGACAGATCGATAGTGTGGACCCTGTAACTCGGCCACCCCTACCACCTTCCGAGTCCTTCTATCGATACACGAAACTGTTCCTCTGGCACAATGTGCGCGACGTTCGCGTTGAGAATCCTTAATAAAATTGTTAATGAAAAAGTGTCTACGTTCTTTAGGGCAACTCGTAAATCTTATCGAACTTTAAAGTTTAAGCACTTGGTTAGATGAACGCTCGGTTTAAAGAGAAATGATTTGGAAGAAATATTGGAAAACGTAGAAGTAAAGAATCAGATGTCGTTCAAGGGTATGTACTAGGTGTCTCGGTCAATTTAAAACAATCCCAGAAAATATTTTTGGAACTATTGATGACAGAATAATATTTTGGGTAGGAATTGAATCTTGAGGGAGACATAATTTGCATTTTTTATTATTGAAATATAACTGTATGACTATGTTACAGTGGTAATTAATATTTACAATTGCTTCAGTTGCAAATGAATTTATTATTCTTTTATTGTTCAGAAATCTTATAAAGAATACAAGTATGAGACTTAATAATTTAATGTACAATCTTACATTATGTGTGTTATGTATAATTTATTGTATTTATTGTGAATCACCTATGGTTCTCACGGTAACACTGGGAAATCTAATGTCAGTCATTGGTAACTACAATGTTACCATGATACTGCCATTTTAGACACCCTGGTGGCTGTAGACCAAAGGTTGACGATCGTATTGAAAAGGACACGAAACGTCGGTAATCGAAACCCCACGTCCAGTCGAACTTACAGCTCACCTTATGTCTCTTTCAGGAA